TGTCTCAATTGATCGGTTTCGAACCTATCAAATGGTGCTTTCATTGAGAGATAACCTTTGTGGGTTTACCAATTTATCAATGGATTCGGAGCTCAAGTTTCCTCTTGATCTAGGACGATCCAAACCCAGAAGATTCAGTGCTGAAGATATCGAGTTACTCGAGCAGATGCATGCTAGAGTTGTTCAGATGCACTCGAGTTTTCGAGAATGGAAAGAGGAGTTAAAGTCACAGCTAAAAGCGCAATTAGAAGAGCCTAAAACGCTTGAGAACGTCGAATCGTTGGAGCATATTCCTGTTTTACAGGTCCATGGCGCTTTGGATCGAGAAGAAGATCGATCCAAAACGGAAGAACAAAAGCTGATTCTTCCTCTTGGGAATATTGTCGAACACCTGGGGTGCGAACCATCTCTTAATCAGCAAACGTTGCCTACGATGAAACCATCCGCGGAACCTGAAACAATCAAACTCGATCCATCTCTCGGGCAACAATACCTAGAGGGTAAGGGTTTGTGCTGAATAGTCATCTAGCACGGAGTTAGAATGATTCCGGGCAATCGAAGCTACCACAAGGCTCGGAAAAAGAAATCAAGTAAATACACACCACGTCCTGATTTGGAGCAAGCTTGCAAGAGCTATGGTATGATTTGTGTGTCAGTTTTTGGAAAACGTTTCGAGAATCGGAGGGTCGAGAAAACACGCTTCAAGATTGATAGTTGATACAGGTGTGAAACGGGATTCTCATCTCTTTGGTTATGGGCTTCACTCAAATGATCCTCAAACCCACTTAATCTTAATGATCCAATGAAGAAAGAAGTTGACAGAGATTCCTTAGTTCACAGTAGGTCAGCTAAGGTTGCTAGTGAGTGGGAACAAGAGTATCTAGATGGTGAATATGATGGTCAGAAACGCAAGGAACCGCACCGCAATGATGATCGGATATTGAGAAAGGATTTAGGTCCATTGCAGGATCACCTATTTCAAATTCTACAGGCCCAATCACCAGAAAATCGATGGTATAATTCCAATCAAGTGGAGAAAATTTTGGGTGATGCGATCCAACACGCAAGAGCTCAAAGACCTCGAATCAAGCTTTTACAACAGTCTTGTTGTGATTACCCGATGAAGAATACGGCTTGTACCAATGGAAAACAAGTTATAGATTCAGGACAAGCTAATAGGGTTTGGGAGCGAGGCAGATTATGGGTTGGAAAGGTATTGTGTCTAGAATTAGACTCTTGTGAGTACAAGAAGCAGAGTAAGTTGGTCGTTGAGCAGTATTTCTATGCACAAGTATGTGTTAGTTTTCATGGAAGTGTTGATGATATTAAATGTTCAGCATTAGGAGTATGTACAAGCGAGAAACAAACCAACGGATTTCTTGCATGGGTTGTGTGTGGGATCCTGGTGGAATTTCATGTTCAAAAGCTCAGGAGATTTGGTTAGGGACTTATTTTCCTGAGTATAAGAAGCTTATTTGGCTGGTCGTAGATCAATGTTTAGGGGTATATGCTCTTAACAGAGGTGTTGATGATAGTGTGTGTCTAGCATTTGGAATCTGTTTTGGCTACAAACGACTTTTCGATCCAGGAGGAGCTAACTGTGGTTTGGAGTTTGTTGCTGTTTTTGCTGTTAAGGGAAGCAAGGTTCATGGCTGTGTATGGCGGTCTTGTCGTGATTTGGTAGAAGATTATGCAAGTTGTATCAGTTGCGGGAATTCGAGACAAAAAGGTGCTCGACTGATAGAACCAAGCTCTGCAATGAGGGCTGGAATTCTAGGCTATAATGGTACTTCATGGAAAACAGTAGAAAACATAATTGTGGAACAAGCTGAAAGAGCAATTCCAGATCATGAAAGTGTGGATTTAAGGTTAGATTATAAGGCTGAATTTGATATCCAATGCTAACTGCGAGTGTGAAGGAAACGTCTATGAAGTATTTCATCTTTCAAGACCGCCGGAGCTCAATCACAACCTTGAGGACAAGGTGTATTTTTCAGGGGCGAGTAATGGTATGAGCAGAATTTTGGTTAGTGAGGCAGTAAAGAAGAAGTTAAGAGTTGATAAAGATGATGCTAAGAAGGTCATAGGAGATGTTAAGCTAAGTAATGTTATAGATGGGATAGAGAGGCTTAAGAACATATTTATAGGAGCTGTTATGATCCTATTAGCCTTGGTTATGGAGGAAATTGAGGTTGGGTTCTCAGGAGGTGGTAGTGGAAGGTACGTAAGGATTGGTTGTGAGGATAAAGCTGATGTGGATATAGGGGAAACTGGAATAGTGCTGAGGCATATATCTCAGAGAAGGTGTTATAAGAAGGTCCATATTACCATGTTGGAATACTTGCTTGATATGAGACAACAAATTTTGGAAGAGTTAAGAACTGAATCGTTTGAAGCCACTATGGAGCGTTCAAGGGCAGATGCTGGAAGGGAAACTGAAGCTGAAGGCGACTTATGGGCGGAAGGCGACTTGTGCTGTTAATCCGGTAACAAGAAGCAACTCTAAGTGGAGGAGTTTTCTACTCATCCAAGAGAGAGAGAGAGAGGAAACTTCTATCTTATCGTACTAATTAACCCTTTTTGTCTTCAATTAAAGTGTATGTATGTTATTAATTGGTGATTAGCAATTTAAAGTGTCATATTTACTTAGGTTAGGCGTTAATCTGAAAATAAAAGACATGTAGCTTGTTTTTCCAATAGATTCAATTCAAAGCAAAGTCTTTCTTTCTCTGATTAAAGACAAATACTTTCGAAAGGGACTATACTTAATAAATTTTATCATTTTCTCAACAAAATAAATAACACGAGTCCAGCATCAAACATAGAAGAGAAACAATTGATTGCGAACTATGCGAGACAGAATCTCAGTCTTCTCTACAGATACTTTCTTGCAAGTGCACGAACTTTGGTGTCGAAATGCGACGATGTAATCCGAGAACCGGGCAGGTACAAGGGGTTCAGAAGAATCTGCGTGAACAAGCGAATTTTGATGATGGTGAGGCAAATTAGATTTGTGTTAATAAGGTGCAACCGAATCAGATCAGATCCAACAACAACTCAAGAAAATATTACCTTTATGTAAAGCTCGTGCACCTCCTGAAAGAAGCTCTTGATGCCGTCTTCATTCCGTGAATCATGAAGGAGCATGAGTCGAGTATGTGTTGATAAATTAAGGAAGAAACAAACATTTAAAACTTGGACACTATTAAGATGGATGAATCAGAAGAACATAAAATCATTTGCATTTGCTATTTAGGTTCCAAGAAAAAAGGATATGGCCTGCGGTAACATACACCGACACAACCAGGTCGTTAAACCTGTCGACAGACTTCAAGAACCTGAAGAGTTATATGATAATGAGATGAATCCTTCTAACAGAATCAGATAATTTCACAAGAGAATTTACTTACATGGCACTTGTAGTCCATGCTAGGTCTTGGACAACATCTAAAGCTGCATGTAATATAAACTGGTGCAACTGAGCAGCATCTTCTCTCTGCCCAATAGAAAAGAATGGTGTAAGAGACTAATACCATAATCCACCTGCTAGATGAAAATATAAACACAAAAAAACAGAGAAACTTCCGGAATTAAGCAAGGATAATCAACCATATGATAGACCATAAACCAATTAGTCCTGCAATTCCTGTCCAAGCAAAACTAACTTAGATGATCTTAAGAGAGAGAACTATGCTTGCTTGTTTGTTTGGTCATGTAAATGTAAGACAGTGAGAAACGTTCCTTACACCAAAAAGATTTTGAACAAAAGTAATAACCACCCTTTTCAAAACACCAGCAATATGGGACAACAATGATTAATCAAATCTATTCTCCTGGATTTTTATGTTTGAAGGAAGCTAAGTGATCGTTTCACCTCTTTTGTAACAGATTCAGAAGGTTAAATCAGGAGAGTTAAAATTGTGAACAAGAAACAAATGTTGTGGAGTATATTCTATCATGTTAAAGATTCAGAACCTAGGATTATGGATCTAACAGAACATAAATGCGAGCAAAAAAGAAGTAACATGAACTAAAAACTTCAATGATTCAGATTCATTTCCTCCTAAACAAGTAGTGAAGGTGGAGTAAGAAATGTACTTTGGCTGCAGATCCAACTTCAGCTTCATAGATGGGAATATCATTCCGACCCACGATTATAAAACAGGCAGTGTTCGCCATTCAATCCCTTAGTCTCCAAGTAGAAGAAACTAGATCGTGTGTCTCCTGCAATACGAAAAAAAAAAATCTCAAGTTCAGAATCACATAGATCTATTATAAGCCTACGTAAGAAGCTTTTTTTGGAAATCACAGAGTAACTGCTATCCATTCGCCAGATCTGATGTAACTGAAACAAGGAGATTAACTTACAGAGAGAATCTGAGAGATCGAAGAAGACGATAAAGGGAAAGAAAGATTGAATGAATTTCTGTGTATTGCAGAGAAGAATGATACATACATTTATAGTAGCTAAGGCACGAGCCAATCTAGGGAGATATTAAACTAACTAAGACTTGGTTACAACAGAATAAGATTTTATACAACAACATCCTAAATTGCAGTAGCATCGTAACAGAGGAAGAGATATGAGATATGGATTAGTGAACCGAAGCTGACCGAACCCACTTAACCATATGAAACCAAG